CATCGTCGTCGTCCTCCTATTCTCCCCACTCCTCCAGGTCCAACCTCCTTCCCCATCCTACACGTCGTCCCCTTCCTTATCATCCTCCTCCTCCTCCTGCTCCTGCTACCCCTCCTACCCGCCTTCCCCTCCTCCTCCCTCCTCCTTCCTCCTCCTCCCCTCCGCCTCCTCCTCCTCCCTCCACCGCCTCCCCCTCGACCCCCTCCCACCCCTACTCCTCCGCCCCTCCTCCTCCTCCTCCTCCTCCTCCTCCTTCTCCCTCCTCCTCCTCCTCCTCCCCCTCACCCTCCTCCTCCTCCTCCTCCTCCTCTGTCTTCCCCTTCCCCCCATATCTCAGAGTCCTCCTGCATGCTCGCGCTCTGCCCCCTGGTTCGCCGACAGGGGCCACGTCCGAGCGCATCTCCTACCCGCCGGGACGGCGTGCAGCCGCCGTGCTGCCCTTTTTTTCAGCGTGGACGCGCTGCCTCGGCGCCAACGCCGCGGCGAAGTAAGTGGGTGGCCGAGAGAGCACGGGGCGCACATCGCGCGCGCGGGGGGGGCGACCTGCCGCCCTCGCCTGCGCGCCGCGCGCCTGCCTCCCCCCCCCGGACGGAGAGCTGCGCTCCCCGCCGTGTGCGCAGCGCGTACGCTTCGCTCGCGGAGCAGCCGTCCGCGGCGAGACCGCGCGCGAGCGGGCGAGCTGTGTGCTGCCGCCTGGGCGCGGCACGCAGCCTGCGCTCGCGGACGCACGCGGCAGCTGTTCCTTCCTCTCCATCCTCTCTCCTCCTCTCTCCTCCTCTCTCCTCCTCCTCCTCCTCCTCCTCCTCCTCCTCCTCCTCCTCCTCCTCATCATCATCTGCCTCCTAATCGTCCTCCCAATTCTCCTCCTCCTCATCATCCTCCTCCTGCTCCATCCTCCCTCCTCTCCCTGCCCGCTCCTGCTCGCTCCCCTGGAGCACCCCTCGCATGGTCAAAATGCCGCAGTCGCCCCAGCGCCAAGCAAAACGCTCGCCCGAAAGCGGCACTCCGCCTGGGCCTTTGGGGCGCGGCGCATAAGCTGAGGGGCCGCACGCGAGGGGGCGGAGCGTCGCTCCCGCACGAGCAGCGCACAACTCTCGCCTGGGCGTGGCGCGCCTTCTCCGTTCGCCCAGTCGTCGGGAGCAGGAGCGGTGCCGCACGCGAGCGGCGGACGTGCTGCCGCGCAGCAGGAGGGCCGCAGACGAGCGGTCGAGACGCCGCTCCCGCGCAGGCGCCAAGCCGATTCCGCTCGACAGCGGCGCTCACGCCCGGGCGCGGCGCACACTCTCTGGCCCGCGCGCGAGCGGGCGAAGTGGTCGCTCCCTCGCGCACGCGCCGCGCAGGGCTTCGCCGGAGGGCGGCGCTCCCGCTTCCGCAGAGACTTCGTAGGAGAGCGGCGCTCGAGCCCTGCCTGGAGGCCTCCCAGATGGGGCCGGAAGATCACGCCGCATCGGCAACGCATCGGCGACGTCGGCGATGCACTCTTGCGCCATCGGCGTGGCGAAAGTCGGGATCTGCATCGAGCCGCATCGGCGACGCATCGGCGATGCGGCGCGATCCTCCGACCGCATCTGCTCGGACTCGTCTGGGATGACTGGAGCGCAGACTTCGCTCGGCGGCGAGCGAGGGGGGGAAGTGAGACGGGGCGAGCCTTCTCCGTAGGCTCGGGAGTCCCCAGGCCTCGTGAGGAGGCTTCTGAGCTCTCCCCGAAGGCACAACAAACTTCTCAGAAGGCGCCAGGGCTTCTGAGAAGCCCCGCAGCCTCCCGAGAAGGCCTTCCGCTCCTCTCAAGTCGGGCGTGTCCCCCGACAGGGGGATCCTGGGCGAAAAGTGACAAACCACATAATATGCTCCCCACGTGGGAAAACACAGTCCAGACATCGCCCCAAGACTTTTTGCTTGACCATCTTCGAAGCTTCCCCCTCTAGAGGGACAGGCCCGACTTACCACTTCTCCCTCCCCCCCCCCTCGCTCGCCGCCCCCACTCGCACCCCAGCGGCGCTCCGAGCCTCGCCGCAACGCGCACGCTCCGCCTCCGCCCGCCCCCGCTCGCAAATTCTTCCCGGCACGGCGCGCGCGGCGTGGCCCCGCAAGGGGGGTGCTCTCTCGCCGGGGCGCCGCGGGGAGGGGGAACGGCACCCCCTTGAGGGCTCGGAGCCCGCGAGGCCAAGGGCCCCCTGGGAGGGGGCACTCGGCTGCAGTGGCACGCGCGACGGAGCAAGGGGCCCGCGCGGTGCTCGCGCGCAGGAGCGCTCGCGTCGGGCCAGCGCGAGGGGCAGCGACAGAGGGGGGGGGGCGGAAGCGGGCGGGGAGCATCGACCGGGGCTCGGCGACACATCGCCGGCAGACCGGCGAGCGTTCCTGGGCGGGGTGGGCTATGGCGCCCCGAGGGGCGATCAGTGGGCGATTGAGAGGCGATGCGCCCCAGAGCCTACCCCCCCCCCCATTATCCTTGCCTCGTTGCCCCTGAGGACGACTCGGGTTGGCCCCACGGGGCCATCAAGACAATGACGAAACCCAGCCTGAGATCTGATGCGAGCTTCGGCTGCAACCGTTCCACGAAAACGGGAGCGTGAAAATTCAGGACGGGGCCGTCAAACGGCGTGGGCTCGCCCCGAATGTGGCGGCGCGCGCGAGGGGGTGGAAGAAGGGAGGAGGCCTTCTTAGACGGAGGCCGCTTCTCAGAAGGCGCTGGCCTTACATCGATAGGTAAGGCCCGCGCCGTCTGAGAAGCAGAGGTGCTTTTAAGAAGTCCTCCCCCCGCCCCCTCTGCGAGTGGCTGCCAGGCCCTGATTCCAGCCAACCCGAGTCTTGCGTTTCCCCGGCGCGCAGAGGTCGGCGAAGACTCGGCGCCGCGCGTGCGCGCAGAGAGCGCCCTCCGCTCGGCAGGTGGCGCCGCGCGCGCGTCCCGATGTCCAGGAGCGCCGGCGTGGATTCTGTGCTATGGCGAAGGAGGGTGGGAGCGGGCGAAGCCCTCCGACTCGTTCGAGCTTGCCAGCCACCCCTCACTCTCTCCTCGCTCTCTCCTTCTCCTCCGCCTCCTCTTCCTCACTGGAATCCTTCTCCTTGTCATCCAGTTCCAACATTCCCTCGGAACCATTATCTTGCTGCCCCGCCTCCTCCTCCTCCTCCTCCCCCTCCTCCTCCTCCTCCTCCTCCTCCTCCTCCTCCTCCTCCTCCTCCTCCTCCTCTTTCTCCTCCTCCTCCTGCTGCTCCTCCATTCCTTCTCCTTGTGATTAACTCCTCCCTGTCGCACTCCGAGGCCGGTCGGAAGGGCGTGCCAGACGTTTCGCCGGACACTTCCTTACCACTTACGACCCTGAAGGTTAGAATATGCCAACAATTTCACACATGGAGGGCGGGTCGCTTCCAAAAGGTGGCTCTCGCGTTAGCGCCGCGCACATTCGTTTTAAATCATTGCAGGAATGTTGCGGATTGAGGGCGGGTGGCTTTCCAAATGTGACGAGTCGTACTCAAAATGTGGCACCCGCCTGAGCGCCGCGCACATTCTCTGAAACGATTACAGAGCTTCACGGATTGAGGGCGGGTCGTTTTCAAAATGTGGCACCCACCTGAGCGCCGCGCACATTGTTCTGACAGATTACAAAGCTTCACGGATTGATGGCAGGGTCGTTTTCAAAATGTGGCTCTCGCCTTAGCGCCGCGCGCATTCGTACTTATTGGAAAATTGCACAGGTTTCACGGATTGAGGGCGAGCCGTTTTCAAAATGTGGCTCTCGCCTCGGCGCCGCGCACACTCGTCTCAAACATTTGCAGGGGCTTCACGGATTCAAGGGGGCCGTGAAAAAAATGTGGCTCTCGCCTTGGCGCCGCGCACATGACTCTGAACATGGTCAAACATGTTGTGCGGATTGAGGGCGGGTCGTTGTCAAAATATGGTTCTCGCCGTAGCGCCGCGCACATTCGATTCAAACAATTGCAGCAGTTACGTTGACTCGCGGTGCTGAAGTCCCAGGAGTGGTGTTCTGGCACCATTCAGGACCGACAAGACGCAACAGTCAGGTTGACTCGTGGCGTTGAAGTCCTGAGAATGGTGTTTTGGCACGCTCCATGACTTTCACACGGTTGTCCTCCAACGGGACACTTCCCAATGTGGAAGTGAATCATTGTATGAAGCCTATGAAGAGGGAGCTTGGAGGGAGGGTATATCAACCGTTGGTGAGTCTTGTGTGTTGCACTTGTCCTTCTCCTCCTCCTGCTCCTCATTCTCTTCCTCCTCCTCCTCCTCCTCCTCCTCCTCCTCCTCCTCCTACTCCTCTTCCTCCTCCTCACCCTGATCCTAACCCATTCCCGCTCGTGCCACTTCCCATGCACATCGATGCCTCTGCACGCCCGGCCGAGCTGGCGGACCACTGGCCTAGCTGGTCCACCCTCGTCGACTGCCAGGCCAGCCGTGTCCCCGAGGAAGAGAGATCGAAGGGAAAGGACTACTCATGAATATGCGCCGATCCTCCCCAGGCTCGTTCTGGGCCAAGGAGCGGTGCATACGCCCTCACGGCTAGGCCAGGGAAGCCTACCCAGACCCCCGACGCTACGATTTTTCCATAAGCTCGACCCACTCCCTGGGACTGGACTTTGATCCCGAGCTCGACCCACTCCCTGGGACTGGACTTTGATCCCGAGCTGTATCTTGACCCTCCCGAGGCCGGTCGAACGGCCAGTGCCGAAAACAGCGAAGACCTCCCGCCGTGAGGTTGGCTCATGACTCGTGTGGCACCGGGACTGGCGTGGCCCAGACCGATGCCTGTGCACAGCCCCTGCCGCCCGAAGATAGGGCGACGAGATCTATGCATATCCACTGCTCCTGGCCAGGCCCATCCTGGGCCCAGGAGCGGTGTATATGCCTCCCTGGCCAAGCCAGGAGGGCGTATACACAGCTCTTGGGCCCAGGATTGGCCTGGCCGGGAGCAGTGGATATGTATAGACATCGTCGCCCTACGAAGAGAGAGAGAGAGAGGAGCACCCGCGGGAGCGAGCGGGGCCTGCTCCGGGGCCTTGCGCCGCGGCGGGACCGCTGCCAGGCCGAGGTCCTTCGCCGAGAGGCCGGCGCGCCGAAGGTCGCGCGCGCGCGCTGCGGTGCGCGAGGCGCATCGGGGCGGATCGGAGGCGCTTCGAGGCAGCCGCAGGCGAACCCGATGCCCCTGCAGGTCAGATTTCTGCAAAGGCTGGCGGGTGGTCAAGCAGTCGGGGATGGACAGACCCCCCTTTAGTGAAACGTGGTTTAGTGAAAACGACCTGAAGCCCAAACCTGGCGGGCGCAAGCCTGGAAAATAACGGCCACGGCGCCCTCTCGAGAACCGAAAACGGACAATTCACTAATCGACGTGTCACTGTTGGGGGTTCTGTCCACCCCCGAAGCAGGGGAACCCCAGCGGGGGTGTCCGGTACCCCAACGTCGAGTGGACCCGCGGGTGGGGGGTTCGCAAGCGGCCGCAGAGCTCTGCCTCTAACAGCCCCAACCTGCCGGGTGGGGAGAACGGATCTGGGCTTGGGGTGAGGGGCGACAGAGCCAGCCAAAGAAGCGGCCGTGGGCTGGGGTGGCGCTCGAGAAGTGGCAGCGGTTCCAATGGAGGGGGGGGGGGGCGAAGGGGGCGGTCTTCTCGGCAGGGCCGGGGGGCCTCTTGAGAAGGCTCGGAGGCTTGCCAGCTGCGGTTTCGGAGAGGCCAGGAGGGCTTCTGAGCAGCTCTCCTGGCTACCGCGTGGAAGCTTGCCCTCCCTCCCCCCGTCTCCGCCGACCCCACGAGGGGAACGTCGGGGGGCGGGCTGAATAGGGGGGAGGGGGGCGCATCGACCAAGAAATGGCGACACGCATCTCGCCACGACATGCGCCGAGCTGGAATCCGGACGCCTCGGCGACGGGCCCCGGGCCGCGAGACCGTGCGCTCCAGGGCGGGGCGGACCATCGGGCCCCTGTTGGCGACGATCGGTGCGCCGCCCACCGGGAGACCACCTCCCCGTGGCCAAAGCCCCGGTCGGAGAGGAGGGGGTGGGAGTCAGCGCCCCTCTACCGGGGACTCCACCAACGGGTACTTTGGACAGTGGCCCGGCGAACCCGATCCTCCCCGATGTGGGCAACGCTGCCATGCCAGAAAGAGGCGCTGAAGCGGCAACTTGCGGCAAGGTTCCAAAGTATCCATTAGTGAGTACCCGCTACGGTGCCGCTGAGGGAGAGGAGAGAAGGACAAGCTAGGTGCGCTCGCGCCATACATACCATCCTATCCCCACCTCCAAATCCCTTACCACTGCGCTGATCTGTTACTACATCTGCGGACGCATATCATAGCCGACATGGAGCTCTAAAGAAGACCCCTGATCATGTTATGCGCAATCGAAAAAAGGAAAGCTGCGTACATATGAGGAGGAAGAGAAGGAGGATCATGAGGAGGAGTTGGCGGGTGAGAAAGAGGACGAGCAGGAGAGACCCACGGAGGACGAGGAAGCACAAGGACGATGACGAATAGCAGCATCAGGAACTGGAGTGGAAGGAGGGGGAAGAGCAGGATGACCAGGGGAAGGCGGAGGAGGGGAAATGAGGGTGCGACAACGATGAAAAAGGACTCGGATCCAACAAAGTGGCCCACGTTGGGGCGGGATCGCCATCCTCAACGACGGGAGCAAAGCGCCGATCCGGGACAGAGGGAAGGGAGCTCGCCACGGGGACCCACCCCTCCCGCAGCCCTGGAGGTCGGAAATGGCGCCTCCTTGCCTCCTGGGCGCCGCTCGCCAAGAGGTACCCCCCTGCCCCCGTGGCCCTGGCCCGAGGATCCCGGGCGCTCCTCGCCGGGGGGGCCCGCCCGCCCCAGGCGGCCTCGACCTGGCCTCTCCCCGCGGCACTCCCGGAAGAGAGGCAGCTGCCCCCCTGGCAGTGTGTCCGGCAACGCGTGGCACGCGCCAGCCCGAGACCTGTCGGGATGCAGCCAGCTGTTTCCCTCCGACTCTGGGCGGCAGCGTGGGGCCACACGGTTCGAAACACACAGTGTTCACATGTGCCGTGGCCGCCGGCCTGGGACCGATACGCTGTGGAGCAACACAGGGGTGACACGTGTCACCCCGAAAGCAGTGGGAATTAACAATCTCACCTTTCCTGGGCGTCAGCACAGGATCACACGGCGTAAAACGACACAAGGCTGACCCATGCCACCATGGTCCGTAGCAGAGCGAGTACAAATAGTTTGGCGGTGGCCTGCGAGAGGGGGGGGCGAGCAACACAGCTGAAATGGTTGACCGGTCAGCAACAAGCATTCACTACTGATTCAAGGAAACAGAGCCTGCTCATGGACCGCCCATGGCTTACCCGTGGCCTGCTCCTTGCGGCCCTATGGCCTGCCAATGATTTGCCTACGGCCTTCCCATGGCCTGCTGATGCAGTACCCATGGCCTACACCTGGCCCCAGCCCGAAGACGGCGTTCCTTGACTCCTGGGTGCCGCTGGCCGCGGACCCACCCGCCCCCACGGCCCCAGCCTGGAGATGGCGACCCTTGCTTCCTGGGTGCCGCTGGCCACGGGGCCCGCGAGACGGCGATTCCTGGGCGCCGCTCGCCACAGGGACCCCCCTGCCTGCCCACGGGAGCCCAGCCAGAAGAGGGCGTCACTTGTTTCGTGGGCGCCGCTCACCATCAGGACCCAACCCTTCGGCATATCACAGGGCAGGCGATTCTTGATGTCTGGCCCGTGGATCACTCGTGATCCTGATATTGGCTTGAGACGAGGGGGGGTGAACGCTACAGCAATTCGGGCAATATGTTTGAGGGTTGAACATGGTGCCACAGAACTCCTGACATCAACCCTGCGACGATGCAGCCGCCAAATCTCGGAGCCCACGGCCCCAATTCTGCCAGAATCGTCCCTCCCATCGCTTTCCCGCGCGATGCTGCACAGGCAGCAGCAGAGGACCTGTGGTAGGGTTATTTGGAGGATTGGAGGCTGCACGCGCTGAGCGGGAGAAGGCTGCATCCACAACGTGCTGCAATGATTCGAATCAGCTTGCCGAGGCGCCGAGAAAAGCCAGTGCTGTCGAAGTTCGGTTGGGCTTCCATCGGCAGCGGAAATATCTGCTGGTATATGGCATATCCATTGTCTGATCTTCCGGGTTGATGTTCAGGGGCTCCTCTGGCCTCCGTTTCCTTGAACTGGCAGAGATCCATTCTCGAAGGCATGCAGGCAGCTGGCTTGCAACCTACAGCGCGGAGCCATCCTTATGCTACCATGCCCCATGTGTCACGCTGTGGTTCGTCGCTGCGGCATTCCCAACCGACGACCCCCGACCTGGCGGTCCCCTGCCAAACGCGGGCGCCCTCCAAGACGCCGCGCCGCTCGTGCTGCTCAGCAGAGTGTGCACGCAGGCTGCGTGGATCCCAGTGCCCATGTTTTTCTTTGCTTCCCTCCCTGGCCTTCATCTGTTTCCCCGCCCAAGCGCTACACACCCACACGCAGGTTGCGCGGCTTAGGCCCGCCACGTCCGCCAGAGCGGTCCCTGACGGCAGCTGGGGCGAAGGCCCGCGCCAGTGCGCATGCACGCTGCGTGGTCTCGTTCAGCATGGTGTCGAGCAGGGGCAAACTGATTGACCCAAACAGGAACCCAAACCCTTTGGGAGGGGATCCAAGTTAGGAGGGCCAGGAACATTAGGGACAGGGGGTCTTTTCTGCAGGCGTATCGAACCAAACCGCCCAGAACTATGATCTCTAATGCGAGGACGAGGGCCTCAATGTGGCTGCGCCGTCACCGTGTTATTCGGACTAGGGTTTCTTCTATCCTCGGTGGCAAACGTTGGGCCTGGGGGCGCGCAAACGGGGCGCGCACCTGGGGCGCCGTGGCGCGGCCCACCACAGCGGCGAGGAAGATGCAGCGGTAGGTCGGGCAGCTCCTCCTGCACGCGGAGATTGTATGACATACTTTTTTCTTGTTGCAGCATCAAAACATGATCTTAAACTGATTCAACATGGTCGCGGGGACTCGTCCCCAAACGATCTCCTAACTACTATTGAACATTCCTCCTCGGGAGGGACGTGCCCGATTCCAAGGTAGTGGTTTGTGTCCGAGGCGGCAGAGGAGAACACGAGGAGTGGGGCGGGGAGTTGCCAAGCCAGAAATGGATACAAGAAGAGACCGGGTACAATGCCCAACCAACAGCGCGGGCTGTCCGAAAATAACAACGGTCGCTGCTGGGCAAACAACCTCTTGACCTTAGGCGGACACCGCCCGCGGCGAAGCCGACCGCGCATCCGGTTCAAAATGGAGTCAAAATTTTGCTGACCCGGATCAATCCACAACCGGGCCAGTCGGGCTTTGCAAGATCCTGCACGCAGGCCCGGGTCAATGCACCCCTGGCTCCGCAGGATCCTGCAAGATCCGCCTGCATTGACCCCCGCCTCCTGGGCCCAAATGCACAAGGTCTGTGGTCGGTCTTCGCGCCCGCTGCTTCCGTACCCATGCCGCCCCCCCGACGGGAGGACGCGGAGGGTCGGCGGCGGTGGCCGCGCGGGCCCGCGGGGCAGCCCCTCCCGGGCGCGGCCTCGAAGGTCTTCACCTCCCTCTCGAAGCGGCCAAGGACCGCGTCCTGGCGCATCTTGGGTGTGATCTGGTCCTCCTCCTCCCCTCTCCTCCCCCGTCTCATCCCCCCTCCTCCCCCTCCTTCTTGTCCTCCTTATCCTCCTTCCTGTTTCCTTCTGACATCGTCCTGGTTCCTCCTTCCTAGTGCCTCCTTCCTCCTCCCCCTCCTCCCCCTCCTCCCCCTCCTCCTCCTCCTCCTCCCCTCCTCCTCCTCCTCCTCCTCGACTGTGGACTCTGATGACATCGGGGTTCGGTGACGCACGCTGCCATACCCCCCCGCCACACAGCTGGAGTTCGCTATTTGGGTGGGGTGGGGTGGGGGGGGGCGGATCAAAGTACGTAGCTGTAGCAAGCAGTGCTTCAAGCGAACAGGGAAGGGACCCTCCTCCCTCCTCTTCCCCTCCCTGTTCCCTCCCTCTCCTCTCCTCCCCTGCTTCTTCTCCCCCTCCTCCTCCTCCCCTCCTCCTCCTCCTCCTCCTCCTCCTCCGTTCCCTCATCCTCCCTCCCTTCCCTCTGCTTCTCCTCCTCCTCCTCCTCCCCCCATGCCTTCTCCTTGCACATCACTCCTCCCTGCCGCGCCCCCAGACGCGTCGGCAGGGCGGGCCGGGCGTCTCGCCAGAGACCTCCTCGCCACTTGCAGCGCCCAGGCGCCCGCCGGCGGGCAGCGGCGCCCGCAGCGAGGGGCGCGCACGGGCGCCACCCTCGGCGCGCGCACGGGCGCGGGGCCCCGCCGAGTGGGCCGCCGCCCTTTCGCAGCGCGGGCGCGACGGCGCCGCCCGGGCGCCAACCCCCACGGGCAGGGTGGGCGGGGGAAAAGCCGGCGACGGCGCGGCGGGCGCGCAGGCCGCGAGGCGCGCTCGGTGCGAGCCGCGCCGTCGCCGAAAGGATGGCCTGGCGAGCCTGCGCCGCGCGCTCGCGCCGCGACGCGAGGCGGCGCGCCCTTGCCCCCCCCCGAATTGCGCGGCTCCGATGACCGCGCGCTTCCGCGCAGTGCGCCGCGCCTGGCCGGAATGACAGGCCTGCGCCGCGCGCGCGCTCGCGTGGCGACGCAAGGCGGCGCGCCCTTGCCGCCGCGCATCGCGCGACTCCCGATGGCCGCGCGGCGCCGCGCGCAAAAAGACTTGCAAGACGCTCGGCGTCGCGCATTTGCGCGCAAGGCGAGGCAGCCCGCGCGACGGGGAATCGGCTGCAGCATCGCCCGCGGCGCGGACGAGACCCCCGCGACGCGACGCAAGGATAGAAGGCGGACCGTTTTCAAAATGTGGCCCTCGTCGTAGCGCCGCGCGCATTGATCGTAGTAGAAGTTTGCAGCAGCTTCACGGATAGAGGCTGGTGGTTTTCAACATGTGTATCTCGCCTAAGCGCAGCGCATACTTTTTTATGGACAAATGTCCACCAGCTCCACTGATGGAAGGCCATATGTTCAATCGGTGGCTCTCGCCTGAGCGCCGCGCACGTTCGTGTTCAAAGTTTGCAGCAGCTTCAATCATCCACATGGTTGACATTGAAGTCCCAGGAGGTCAGGAATGACACTATTTCGAAATGACGTGACGCAGCAGTCGCGTTCATCCGCGGCGTTGAAGTCCCAAGAACTGTTGTTACATGATTGAGGACTGTCGAGACGCAACAATCACGCTGATTCGCGGCGCTGAAGTCCTCGAACTGTGTGTCGGCTCGCTTCTGGATGCTCGAACAGTTGCCGTCCAATGGGCCTCTCCCCACAGTGAAAACAAATTCGCGGAGGGAGGGTTCAATGCAACATCGTTGGTGCGCCTTGGATTCACACTGGTCCTCCTCCTCCTCCTCCTCCTCCTCCTCCTCCTCCTCCTCCTCCTCCTCCTCCCTCTCCTCCTCCTCCCTCTCCCTCCTCTACCTCCTCCTCCTCCTCCTCCTCCTCCTCCTCCTCCTCCTCCTCCTCCTCCTCCTCCTCCCCGCGGCCGGTAACGAAAGGCCAGCCGGGCGTTTCGCATGAGACTTCCGCACCATTCATCACACCGAACCTCAGGCATCTGCAAAGAGCGTCACGGATCGAGGGCGAGTCGCTTTCAGATTGTGGCTCCCGCCTGAGCGCCGCGCACACTCGTCTCAAACATGTGCAAGAGCTTCACGGGGTTGAGGCGGATCGTCTTCAAAAAATGTGGCTCTCGCCTTCGCGCCGCGCGCCTGCGCGTCAAACGTGGCGCCAGACCCTCGCGTATGGAGAGCGGGACGTTCTCAAAATGTGGCTCTCGCCTCTGCGCCGCGCACATTCGTCGTATGAGAATTCTAAGAGTCCTGCGGATGGAAAGCGGGCCGCGTTCAAAGCGCGGCCCTGGCCGGAGCGCCGCGCACGCTCGTCCTGGCCATCTGCAGGAGCTTCGCGGATCGAGGGCGGCTCTGTTTCAAGATGTGGCTCCCGCCTTAGCTCGGGAGCGGCCAGGAGGGGGGTGTCCAAGCGGGGGGGGTGCACATCATGGCCGGCGGCATGTGCGCGGCCCAGGCTGGGAGCCAGGGACGAAATCCAATAAGAAGAGGCGCCATGACGTCTGGGGAAAGATCATGCTCCCCGCCATGATATCCACCCCCCCTAGTCATCACCCCCCTCTTTTCCGCCCCCGATCAACGCCGCGCACATTCCTTCTGGGAAAGTGCAAGGCCTTCACGGGTTCGCATGGTTAACGTACCAGAAGTGGTGTTAGGGAGCGATGAAGGATTGTCAAGGCGCCACAATTACGTTGATTCGCGGTGTTGAAATCCTAGGAACGGTGTTCTGACACGGTTCAGGTTCGTCGAGACACGAAATTCAGATTGATTCGTGGCGTTGGACTCCCAGAAGTGGTGTTTTGGTGCGCTTCAGTATCTTCAAACGGTTGTCTCCCAACTGGGCACCTGCCTCAGCAGAACTGAATCCTTGTAGAGGCCTATGGAGAGAGGGAGCTGGTCATCCTCCGCCTCCTCCTCCTCCTCCTCCTCCTCCTCCCTCCTCCTCCTCCTCCTCCTCCTCCTCCCTCCTCCTCCTCCTCCTCCTCCCTCCTCCCTTGCATCTCCTCCCACCTCCCTCCTCCCCCCCCCGGGCGCAACTTGAAGGCCCTGCCCCCTGGGACGGCGCCGCGCCCAGTCCTCCCCCGCCTCGCGCAGCGACTGGCCCCTGTACGTCTTCACGGCCACCCGCGCGCCCGACCTCGGCGTCCGCGGGCGCGGGGGGCCCCCGAGGCGCGGCGGCGCAGAACGGTAGACCGTGCACACTGTTCCGCGGTTTGGGGGACGCCCGCCCCTCGGGGGGCTGCAAAGCTTAGGCCCCCACGGTGCCACTTGGGGGGCAGGCGTCCTCGACGGCGGAAAAGTTTGTGTGGGGCGACACGTCGCGGGGCCCGGGGCCCGGGGATGGAGAGAGAGAGAGAGAGAGCAGGGCGGAGGCGGAGGACACGGGGAGGGAGGGAGGCGGAGGAGGGAGGGGGAGGACGGCAAGGAGGGCGAGGAGCAGCAGCAGCAGCAGCAGCAGCAGCAGCAGCAGCAGCAGCAGGAGAGAGGGCGCGAGGGCGGAGTGGGCGCAGCGGAGAGGTAAGGGGGCCGACGAGGAGGCGAGGCACAGTCGGACTTGATCGGACAGGACGCGCGAGAGGACACCAGACGACGCTCCCGAGGGCCACGTCGCCACAGGAATGCGGGAGGCATGGGCCGCGAGACACGGCACGCAAGGGTACCCTTTTTAACTACTGGGGAGGGTCGACCTACTGGTCTGGGCCGACTGTCGACGCCGCGGCGTGGCGCTACCTCCCCCAAAGTGAAGGGGAACTGGGACACACAAGTAAATACACACAAATAACCAGATTCCCCATATGTTCCCATGTTCTCTGGGTTTCTGTCTTCCCCCCCTGATGAGATAATATGCCGATGTACTGCAATATCTCTTTTCATCTTGAGCCAAAATAGGCGCACAGAGGAGGGTGTCAGAATCACTCCTCCTCGGGCCTGGCCGCAAACTGGCCAGGCACGACTTAAGTCGTACGCGGGCGCGCCCGAGCCGACGCGCCCAGCTCATCTGCTAGGCTGCGGCCATGCCGCGAGCCCCTCACTCCGCCCGGCGCGATCATACCGCCGCCGGCGGAACCTCATCCAGCCCCACAGGTAGCGGAGCATGGATTCGATCCACTCCATCACTTGATGTCCTTCTGATTCGAACTCGGTGCCCGATCCCAGATGTTCAGCGTAGCCATGTGTCTCCTCAAAAGGGAGCCACCCACGCTCTTGGTCAGCACGTCCGCGACATTGTTCTTGCCAGGAACTGCGGCGATCGAGAGATCGCCCTTGCCAACACGCTCCTGGATCCACAAGTATCGTGATTGAACATGCCGCATCTTCCCGAGACCTCGCCGTTGGACGTGGCCCCGGGCCGCCGATGAATCCGAGGCAAGCTCCACCTTCAGGTCCAGCCCCCAATCCGCGAAGAGGCTGTGAAGGCCTAGGCCCACGCTCCCGCCCTTCACCAGGGCGTAGTACTCGCTCTCCCCGCTGCTCAATGAAACCGTCGACTGCAGGTTACTGCCGTGCTTGACTACATGATGCCCCAGCATCGCCACGAAGCCTCCGGTGCTTTTCCGCGTGACTGCACAGCCTGCATGATCGGAGTCCACGTACACCCGGATCTTGTCGAACGTCTTCTGCTCCGTGAAAACCGTGACCGTGCTAGGATGCCGCTTGAGGTAGCGGCCAACCCTCTTGAGCATGAGCCAGCTCGCCTCCGTTGGCGTCTGCATGGACCTGGCGAGCGTCTTCGATGCCTCAGCCAAGTCCAGCCTGTCCTGAGACAGGTAGGCCACCCTCATGGTGAGGGATCGGAAGCGCGAAGCTTCCGCTGCTCCCAACGCCGCCGACTTCGCATCCATCATCTGCTTGTCGGCGCTGCGCTTCTCCGTCGGCGCGTCCACGCCGTTGGCCTTGCTGAGACCCAACTCGTCGATCACGATCTCCGCGTGCCGCTTGTCCGGCTCGATCATCGCATGCCGGCAGGGCCGGCCACCGCCAGGCGGAACTCCCGCACTGACCTCGATGACCCGATTCAGGAAGACCGCCTGCTTGTCATCGCCCTCGTCGAAGCCTAGGTTCGCAGTCTTCTTGAACTCGTACTTCTTGCCCAGCGTGGCCTCGAAGCTGTCGATGTCCTGCTGCTGAGCCAGCACCGCGAAGTCGTCGCCGTGCCCCAGCAGCCTCGTCTCGTCCACCTCCTTGTAGAAGACCGCTGGGCACGACACGCCCGCCTTGTAGCCGTGTTCCTCCAGCAGCTCCGTGTAGTCGCCCTGCCAGATCTTGCTGGCGTCCTGCGTGCCGTACCAGGACTTGAGGAGTAGGCCGCACTTGTCCTCGCCGTACTCCTTGCGACTCTCCTCCTCCAGCTCCACGAAGATCCTCCGCTGCGCCTTCCCGTAGAAGTGCGCCCTGCTGATGTCGAAGAAGCCGATCTTGAAGTTGCCCGGCTTCCTGCCCTTCTTGCGAAGCGACTCCTGAATGTGGAGCGGTGGTTCCCGCGTCCACGTGACCATCAGCGAGACCAGCGACCGCATGGCCTCCAGAGGAGGCATGGCCGAGAAGACCTCGGACGCCTCCAGCTGCTCGTCAGGGCGCTTCTTCGCCTTGATCTCCTTCACGACGAGCCTGCTCCTGTAGTTGGGCCTCTCCGCGTCACCCTTGTTCGTGTCGACCCACTTGAGTGGGATGGGCGGACGCCCAGTCTCGGCGAAAGCCTGAGACCTCGGGACGATCTCGATCAGCTCCTGCTTCTTGACCCACTCGCGCTCGACCGTGCGAGCCTGGGCCACAAGGCCCGCCTCCAGGTAGCCGCCATTGACGTCGTCCCAGTAACTCGTCCAGTCCCCGGGCGGCACTGCCGCGTCCACAGGGACTGGGCCCGACTGCTGCACCTGGGCGGTGCTGAGCTCTCCCACGTCATTCAGCGTGTCCTTGAGCTCCTCCAGCACCGCCTCCACCAACTTCGGTGGATAGACCTTCGCGAACCGCGCGATGCCGCCCACGAGCGTGATGTGGCGATGCCATTCCGCGCGGCCGTCCACATTGCTGCAAGTGCCCTGCAGCCTCCGGGCTAGGCCTGGATGGTTGGTGACCCATCCGGTCTCCTTGCGCACGAACTCCTCCTGGCCATTGCGGGGGTTCGTGAGCTTCATGCCCCACCGACACATGGGGCCTTTGACCGTGAAGACTCCTGGATGCGCGACCAGCTCCTTGACGATGTCCTCATTCCACGATCGCGCGCTCCAGGGATGCTCATGCAAGAAGTACCTGCCTGGCTTCCTGAGCTGACGCCAGTAGGCGTCGACTGCCACCTTCAGGTGGTGTCTGGCCTCCTCCATCTCAGCCGCCTCCTGCTCATCGGTCCTGAACTTGGCGCTCAGGCCCCTCAGCAAGCTGAACTTCTCGCATGGAGGGGACCCCGTGAGCAGGATGGGATCCATCCGCTCCTGCTGCTTCTCGAGCTCCTTGACATCTTCGGGGCGCCGCAAGTCCCACGGCGTCCCGTCCTCCTTGAGTTCCTCCAGGTCCGCCGCGAAGCCCGGGCGCAGCTGAAATTCCGCTGCCCGAGCCGAGAACCGATGTGGCGAGTACACCTCGGCCACGTCCACGGCGCCCAGCTGCAACGCCGATAGGGCGATGCTGTCCACCTCCTCGTCGGCGATGTCCACGCCGGCGCTGGCCCAATGGCCACTGACCTGTTCGCGAACGAGCGGGAGCAACTCCGCCTTCGCTCTCGTCAGCACTCCGAGCTCAACCAGCTCGATCGACGCCACATCGAGGGCGAGCACCCGCATGTGCCTCCCCTCACTGGCGTTCCACACGACTGCCACTCCAGCTGGCAGCTGAGGTCCTTCCGCCGGCGCCGGCTGCGCCGCGAGATCCTCCATGTCCACCGGTACCGGCACGTCTGCCGGCTGTGGATCACCGCGCTCGAGGGCCTCCGGCACATCATCCGGGGCCACCTCTGCCGAGCGCTTCAGCCGCGACCTAGCCGCGGTCATGTCGACATCCGCGGCGGCCTCTGCCGCTCGCGCCGCTCCCGAACTGGAGCTCGCTCCTCCTGAAGGAGCCGCCACGCCGAAGCCCGGTGCTACCGGCTGGCTCTCTCGCCGGCGCGCCGCCGTGGCTGCCACGGCTGGCGCTGCTGCCGAGCGGGTCGCGGCCGGCGCGGCCGATGCCGCTGCCGCCGCTGCCACCGGCTCGGGGATCCTCCGAGCCGTCTTCGGCGGAGGGGTCCCTGCCGCGGCCGATGCCGCCGGTCGGACTCTGGCCTCTTGGCCCTGCCTCCGCTCTCGATACTGGCCGGTCCTCTCCCGGCCTGCCTCCTCCGCGTCCAGCGCTTCGAAGATCCTCTTGCTGCACACCGCGTTGTGCGCGTGGCCAGCCAGCACCCGGCCGTGCTTAGCGATCGAGACGCACCCTGGGCATCCCGGCGTTGCGCCCAGCCGCTCGACGTCCGCCTTGAGGACGTGCATCCTCCTCGGCGCCTGCGGCTGCGGCGACACCACCACAATTGGTGACGGACCGACCTCTCCAGGTCCGACGATGGCCCGCGGCGCGCTTGCCGCACGCGGAGCCACGTCCCACGGCAGGCCCTTCAGGCCATCCCAGCCCGCCGTGATCCACTTCTCGCTCTGCGGCAGGCTGCGGAAGCCGACCGCCTTCTTCACGCCGTCGCTCGTGATGACCATCATCGAGCCGTCGCGCGGGTGGTGGCCGATGTAGCGAGCCTCCACCATCTGCTCCTCCAGCGCGTTCTTCCTCACGCGTTCCCCGGCGAACCGCGCCATCAAGCGTTCGCCGAAGAGCGGGACCGGCTTCCTCCACTGCCGTCCCGTGAGCCGCTGAAGAGCGGTCTTGCCGTCCTGGCCGCGCCGGTATCGGTTGATTACCGATGCGGCGTGCTCCGGCAGGTGCGCTAGCACCGGGTGCTTGTCCTCCACCTTGACGCCCAGCTTGGACTCCAGGTCCATCTTGAGCGCCCGCACCTGCTTCTTGATCTCGCGCACCGTGACCTCAATCTCCCCATTGGCCTGATGATCGGCCGGCGCCGACTCCTGGGGAATGGCCTCGAGGCCAGGAACCTCCTCCACCGCGCGCCTCTTGACCAGCAGGATCGCTGGCTCGCCGTCGGACTTGTTGACGATCTTCCTG